TGGTCAAGGGGTTAGGGTAGGGTTATTGTAAATGTTAATGTAGGGTTAGGGTTATCTGTAGGGCTGCGGTAAGGTTTAGTGTAAGGTTAAGATTAGGGTAACATTAACTTCCAAAGATTAATTTAATTAATTTAACAATCAGGACTATTAGAGGTAACATTAGCGCTAGAGGTAGCATACCACTGTTAAAGTATCTTCAAACTACGTTTTTATGTTTTTTAACCATAAATGGTGGCATAATTTAACTTGCATGTGATTTTGCCTTTCTATTTATTTGTAGATTATTACTTTTATTGTTGCTTGCTGCATGTAGAATAAGGCTATTTAAGGGCATTATACTCTTTTTACAGTATACACATTTTTATTTTATAATTTTCTAACTAAGGACACCACCTAGTTTTGTATATATATTTTTTTTATTTAGTGAGATATTTTCTTCCTGTGTAACATCTTTTATTTACTGACCTAATAAAGCCATGATTCAATACCCCAATGATTGATTGGTAACTTGCACCTAGACACATTTTCAACTAAATGTACTGAGTATGTTTAAACAATTATCTCACCAACAGCAGGCACCCAGAGCCCGCATGCCATTATTCTAAATCTAATCTAATCTGCTCTCCATTAATTTAACTAGATTTATGATTTTAATTGATTAATTACCTTAGCTGTTTTACTCCAAATGTATCAATGTTTTCATGGATTTACTCATCAGTACACATGCTCCATGAAATTAATCTATAGTTACTAATCATTGTATTATGAGCACTTAATACATAAAACAATTGACCACGATACTGTCAGCTCCTATTTATTAATAACTTATAGCTTTTCAATTTGCTTTAAGCTTGTGACATGTTCATTAATGAAAAAGCATGCAGTATTTATTGCATAAATATAATTTATTCATGCTTTAAGTATGTCTAAAGAAATTATGCTTCGAGTATGCATGCCAGAAATCTACTCTAATTTGATCTGTGATTCAACAAAGAAGAGAAACAGAATCTGTTTTACATTATTTTCTACTTTAATTTTTCTGCTGTACATTTTATGTTGTTATCTTCCCTGCAAAAGCCTTGCACTCTGTCACTTATGCTGTTTGTCACTATGACACTAAATTATTTTTTTTATACTTTTTTCTTTAAAAAGTGTCTGCCTATTATGGCAGTGGTATCATACTTTTCTTTATCTTTGCAGATAAGTTATTCTCATTTACATTAGCAACTACTTCACTGGCATTCTATAGCAATATTAAGGTGCATTCCCTGCCTGCAATCAGCAGCTAGGGTAATATTTAGTGGCTCCAAACTGATGCATGAGCTGTTAAAGCGGATTTACATCCCCACAGCTGGAATTTTGTGTAAGCACAGTTAAACCCTACTTACGCCAGGAAGACCACGGTATGAACAATTTATGATATCACTGATAGTTTCCTCCAATAGGGACATACACAGGGTGATCAGCACTTGGCTATGCAGTGCTGATTAGCGTAAGTAATCACAGGTGCAGTTGTGATTTCCATAATATTGTGACAAGTTGTCACCATATGATTCAGCTTGACAAAGATCCAACTGTTTGCCATGTTTCTCCAATAAAACCGCTGTTTAACCCCTTAAGGACCAAACTTCTGGAATAAAAGGGAATCATGACATGTCACACATGTCATGTGTCCTTAAGGGGTTAAAAAAGACCCTGAGTGCCTAGACTACATTGTCTTCAACATATGATTTAGCAGCAGAGAGAGAAATAACTCTAATCATGCTGCTAATGTAAAATTCAAGCGACCAGCCCTCTGAAATCAGCAATGGGATTCCTTTGTTATATCAGCAAGGGATTCCCTTTGCTGAAAGCATCAAGAGATTCCATCTGCTAACATTAAATACTGTGCTAATCCTAATCTAAACACTCAACCTTATCCTAATGTTATCGCCAGGTTTATGATTAGGGTACAGTTAGATTAAGGATTTGGGTTAGGATACATTTATGGTTAGGATTAGGTTTACAATCAAGGTCATGTTTATGATTAGGGTTAGATTTAGGATTAATATTAGGTTTAAGATTAGGGTTTGTGTTAGGATAGAGATACGATTAGGATTGATCCTTTGCAAAGGTAGGAGTACTGCTGTACTCAGTAGATATTGTTGGGTACAGTTTATAGGATCACATATAAGATTCACAAAAATAGGCAGCAAAAATACAATTATACATATTATGTCTTGCTAACCTAGATCATTGAATCATTTATATATATTTAGATGTAATTTATACTACATGGCACAACGAGCAAGTGTGCAAGCACTATGCAGTGTTTTTTAATGCCAAATACAATACATTACCACAGTTAACCCACCAAGGACTAATCTATTTTTTAATATGAACATCTATTTTTGTAGAATAACGTTGTGTTAGTTTACACTAGACATGTGAATTCGTTTTATGATTTTGTCCGAAAATGAGTTTTTCGTATTTGTTTACTGAAACGTAAACTAAAGTGCTGCATACGAAATGTAAACAAAACGAAAAGGGCAAATCCCAAACGCATTACCTTTTTGTTTCATTTATTTCGTTTACTACACTCCGTGCTGCAGGAGAATTAACATTAACACCCACAGCATGGAGAAGAAATGAAAACCTCATGTTCTCCCTGCAGTCTGAGATTTGACCCGTGCAGGACTGCAAGGAGACTCTTACAGGCATGGGTTAAGTGACTTAACCTGTGCCTGTAAGAGTCTCCCTGCATGGGTTAAATCTCCCCACACTTGCGGCTACCAGCTCACCCTGCACCGGGAGACGTCACACCGGCAGGACTCCATGCTGCGGGAGAATTAACACCCAAAGCAGGGAAAAGAAACAAAAACCCCAGGATCTCCCTGTGTTCTCAGATATAACCAGTGACTCTTACAAGCATGGGTTAAGTCTCTGACTGCAGGGAGATACCGAGGTTTTCAGGCTAGCTTAACTGACGATTCAAGTTGCACCAGGAGGCTTAACAGCCGATTCAAGTTGTGACTCTGTGCTATAGGAGAATTAACCCCCACAGCACAGAGGAGAAACACACTAAAAAGCTCAACACAGGTCAGATGTACCTGTAAGAGACAAAATAATCTGCCCCTGTAAGTCACACTGTCCCCAGTGCAGATACATTGTACATAAATAGAAAAAGTCTATAATAACATTATATTTCATTCTCACTCAGTACAGTTTACATATAATATATATATATATATACTGAGTGAAAATGGAATAATAATGTGATTATTTTTCACACAATTATATATGCACTGCAGCCCCTCCCCCCTTCAGTACAGATCCGTGAAAATGACTAACTCGTCAGGGGAATGTCTCAAAATATCCTATTATCCAATACCCATAAATAATTAATCATACACTACAAAACCTCAAAATACTCTATGAATTACTGATAGTGGTGCCACAGTGTAATTAAATAAATTATATCTATTAAAAACCCATAACATGATATCTGTTAAAATAAAATGAATAATAATTAATTACTCTCTGTCCCAGTGTTTAAATATTATTTATTTCTGAAAATGTTTTACCTGATTTCATTTTGTAAAACAAGTTATTGTTTATTGCTTTATTCAGGCATTCTGGGATATTTTCTCCAACACGTAGACAAGACACTGGGACAGACAGTATATTCATTTTTTTTTAACAGATATCATGGTATGGTTTTTTATAGTTATAATTTATTACACTGTGTAATAAACACAGTAACACATTAAATACACTGTGGCAACAAATAAATATTACTAGGTTATAAAGTATTTTATTTTGAGGTTTTGTATTGAGTTTGTTATACACAGAATTGACTAAGACTGTCAGTAAAGGAAATCTTCAATCATTAATCTGACAGTGTGGGGACTCTATCTCTTGACCAAAATAAAGAACAACAAAGATGATTATTGGTGGAGAGAACAGTGACCTAGGAAATACAGTGTTAACGAAAGGAGGAGCAGTACAAAAAAAAGCAGCATTCGTTCAGACATTTTGATTTTGGCTGTTGAGAAAGACAGACCATCAGATAGATAGTGGACAGGAGAGAGATATAGTGTATTATTTCTTGTACCATTGCATTGCCTGTGTGGGAGTGGGTGCTTGACCCCTGTTGTGAGACTAGGGTGAGGTCATACTATAGCTTAGACTGTTATTTTTTTTATCTTTAAAAAACAATAATAATAATATAAAAAAAACATAGATATTAATATTTTATTTTATAGATAAATCCTACTTAACTGCTTTTTTGCTTACCAGTTAAAACCGGTAAAGTGCCATTTCCTGACACTGGTCGTGTTTTTTCTGTGGATTTCTGTTAGTGACCTCGGCTAGTTTCTGGTTATCCAGATTTCGACAATCCTTGACTTTGTTTTATACCTTGTCACCAGATTTCAGGTTCCCACATTGCCACCCCTTTGGGTTATATTATCCTAATTTCACATTAAGGACCGGTAATACATCTTGCTATCTCTTTCTCTCATCGCTCAGGGTTACAGTACTTTACTTGCTGTATATTAAGGTCACCTTTCATACAGTGACATACTTACAGTTTACACACCAACTTTGAGTGTGTAAGATAGGCTCAGTCTGGGACATTCTCATCAAGCAAAAATGTTGCAGTAGTATCACTGCACATAGCTAGCTGGTAGCAAATCCACCAGGCAGCAGCCATGAACCGACTTTGCTACACAGTCACATATCATTTTGCATATATATATATATATATATATTTATATATTAAAAAAAATAAAAAACTTCAGCGATGTTCCACTCTAATCTAAAGAAGAGATTGTATTTGTATGCGTCTTGTATACAAATTATTACAACTTGCGTGCTAATTCAAACATATTGTCAGGATCGTGTTCCTTGTTTCTGTTCCTTTAAAAAGAAGTTCCAGCTCTCAACCACTAGTGGCCTCCCTAGCCACTAGTCACCTCAGTCCTCGCCTGCCTAGGACTAATTACTTGCTTCAGCTACACCCTGCTCACAACAGGGCCTTTACATTGAAGTTTATGATCTACCTGAAAGACTTCAGTTTCTGGCTCCTGTGAACCTGATCCAAACTTACCTTCTACCCTGCTCCATACCAACCTGCTCCAGATTTACCTTCTACCCTGCTTCATACCAACCTGCTCCAGACTTGCCTTCAAACCTGCTCCACTCTCACGTATGATTTTGACCTCTGCCTCTATTACCAGCCTTCCTGTGTTACAAACCTGCCTCTGTTATCAGCCTGCCTCTGTAACCAGCCTGCCGTTGATACCAAACTGCCTTTGTTTCAAACCTACCTGAAGATTAGAGACTTTCTTTATTTGCAGGTATCCTGTTTTGTGGCATATTGCCTAAAGTCTGTTTTTCCTCAATTTGCATAAAATGTCTAAAAGCACAAATAACGTCTCAAATAACAACCCTGGCATGTCTCCTATCTGACCTGCACAAGATCATGACACATATTGTATAATTGTACTGTGGCTGAGATTAGGAGGGATTTAAAGATCTTCCTGTTTAGGAGAAACTAACTTGTGACAAATAATAAAATAACAAATTTAGTCTAATTATATTTTATTTAAATATAAAAGTGAGACAACTGCTTCATTCAGTTATAATACAACTGAATGAGACAGATGTCCTGGGGAAGGGATGAATGCCTGATTTCAATAGTTTCAACAATTACACACGTTAGTGGCATTTTTTTTTTTTTTTAATTAAATTCTTTATTTTAATTGTGCATAGAGGGTACAAAACAAGCTTGCAATGCCACAACAGCTAATGCAAGCCCTTCGAATAACATAGATTAACAAATATATGGCATTTGACATTTCTGCACATTTTTATACGGTTAAAGACGACTGCTTTTCCATAAATTCTGTGCGTTTGAGTATAAGAACTAGGTAAAAGGTAAACAGTGTGACATTCAAAAGATATTCAATTAAATGACATATGCCAGTGGGATACATGCCATGGCATCCATACTTATGAGAAGAAGAAATCAACAATAAACAAAAAAATAAAACGAAAAGAAAACAAGGATGCGAATAATGTGTAACACTATCTAGTAAAAACTGACAGAAGTACAGCTCCCTATATGGGTGCATTGAGCATATTGGTTGCAGTGCGTGAGAGTAGGCAATTGGCAAGGTAGCATTTGGCCTATCAGAAGAGTTTTTATAAGGATGAGTGCAGTTACTTTATGTTGCTAGGAGCATCCAGACTTATTCTCCTAGGTGATTGTATTACTGTAGTCATTTGTGCGCTGTGATGTTTGATTGGTTTTGGGAGCGTTTGATGCTTGTATTTATAGTGTTAGTTAAATTCTGCAGATTCCTGTCTTTTGTGTCTAGCTTAAGGACAATTCTTAAGGTGGGGGAGTTTGATCGAAGTTTTTTTGTGTATTCGTGTTAAGAGTGGTGGTCTCGTGTGAGAGATGTGTTGTGAGTCATGGTATAAGTGGCTTGCTGCAAGGTATAGGTATAGGTTTGAGTCCAGCGAATCAAGTTGTAACAGCAGCATACAGGTTTGTAGTAAAAGGCATTGTTGCTGTTCAACCCTTGAGGGTCCCCCAGGTTCCATGTGAGTCCTGCGGGAGACGTAAGGTGGCCAGTAAGGCTTTTGCCTTGGCGAGGTCCCGTATCACGTGTCTTTCTTCCCCTTTGGTGACTGGGAGTATGCGTTCTTGCCGCCAGCGGTATTGGATGTTGTGCTTTCTGAGCAGGGATGTGAAGGTTACCATCGATATTCTCCATGCCAGCGTACCTCCCGATAGGTCAGCGGTATGGATTTGAAGATGCTGCAGCCCTATCCGTCTCTGGGTGAGTCTGCTGGGGCCCTAGGTGACTTGGACACCCAGAAGTACCCATCAAGTCAGCCCTTCCCATGTCAGTGAGGCCAGTCATATCCTGGACTTTCTGAACTGCTGGTTGCTTTACCCGAGAAATTTTCTGGGACCCGGTCTAAATATATTACCTTCAAAGTGGATTGCGAGGTCCTATTCTCCCTGAGACCATTTACCTATGCCACGGACTTTATTAAAGTGAGGACAGTGATTACCTTGTTGTCTGGGCACCCTAAGATTTGACCCACCAGCTGTTAATCACCAAAAGCCCAATCCTGGATTCCTGGAAGTCATTTATTCGGTCCCTGGGTTTACAATGCAACAGGACACAAAAGTCCAATGTTCCTAGATCACCACCTGTTCACATATATTGCTACCCGGACTGGAGCTGGACTATACTGCCCCTTCCACTCGGACTGGTGTTACTGCAAGCTCTACCCCTTCCAAGTCTCCCAAAGTGCCTGAGACATCATTTTCATCTTGCAGGGAAGTCGAGGAACCTATGGAGATTGGAGTGGTCTCGCTCTGCCAGTCATCCCAAGAAAAGGCAAGAAGGAGGGCACATGGACTATGTTTTCATTGTGGGGAGAGGGGACATTTAATATCATTTTGTCCTATTCGCCCATCTAGGCCTCAAGTTCTCCGTGTGGGTACCACTCTTGCATATCCTATGAGACCTGTCTGCCAACATGTTGCCTGTCCTTGCTTGTCCACTCTGACCAATCCTCACCTTCCTACGGTTTTTGCTCCTGAGGTCTTGCAGGAATCTGTCTCGAAGAAACCTGAGATCCCTATTTCTACGAAAGATTCTATTTCTGAAAAGGCGAGTACCACAACCACTGCATGTCCAATCGAGAAAAAGCCTACTCCTGGCTGTACTTACACCTCTAATGCAAGTTCGTAAAGAGGACTTATATGTCTTTGAAAGGGCTCTTCAAGCTCTGACCTCCGCTCCGTTGGTAACACCAAAACCAAGAAAGTAACCTTCGTGGCCTTAAGTAGCTTTCCTATTTTCATTTAATGGCTGATGTCAGGGTCATCATTCATGCCATACACAATATTGTGTATTTGGGCCTTGCTGGGATCAAACTTGTGTCTCCAGCATCCCAGTCAGTGATCTTATCCATGGCTCCACACATATATCTTGTTATTCTGATTTACTAGTTGTATCCTACTGTCTGTATCTCTAGTCCTGGACATTTGCACACCTGTTCCTGGTTTCCCGATAGTGGCAATTACCAGCCTATATAAACCCTGCCTTGTTGGTAGCTCATGGTCAGATTGTTGTTCCTGTTCCTGTTTCACTGCTATTCATCTGACTCCTGGTTTAGTTCCTCTGCTGGTCTACCGTTTTTGCCTGATTGCCGCCTGTCCTGACTACTGATATTGACCTTGACTACTCTCTTTGGATTTGCCCTTGCCTGTACTGCGTTCCTGGAAGCACTGGATATTATCAGCTCCAGTGCACTGTTTCACAGCCTTGGTGATGTCTGTATTGAGTCCCCTTGGCTTGTGTCGTATTGCAAAGGGTGCTTTAACTCTGCGTGTCAGACTCCCACTCCAGGTAAGATCCCTCACACCTTGGCTTGTCAGGTTTAATTTTTTTGGTCTTATGACCCATCACATTCCCTCTTTGTTTAGGGTGCCGGTTGGGGCGATCAGGTCGAGATTCCGAGCCCCGTAAGAGGTTATTGTCGTTACGGTTGCATGGAGCTCTCGGGTGCTGCGACCACCTAGCTCGGGTGCTTGGCTCCACCCCTATTAGTGGTGGTATTGAAAGACCCCTGTGAACATTTCCAAATCTATATTTTTTTTTATTTTTTTTAGCTTGGAATGTCTGGAGATCTGCAGAGATAACAAAAAAAAAGCTAGCATCAGCCTAGATGTAAGAAGGGGAAGGAAGCAATAGCAAGAAGACTGGGTCAGATAATATTTTTTAAAGTAAGAAAAAAAGGTTGTTTTTTTTTCCCCTTTAGAATTAAGTAAAAATCCAGGGGAATATTCATCAAACCTGGGCCTGGATTAAAAAAAAAAAATAGTTAAACACTCTCGGCAATGCAAGGGTTAACTCATGTTGCGGCTGGCCAGCGCTTGCTAGGCGGCCACCACTTGAAACAGTGTAAGAAAAATAAAAAAGTGAGAAATAAAAATACTAAGGGATCAATAACCCTCCTTATGCCCCTACCTGTCATGCGGCATTGGGGGCATTTCTACCAAGTAGTTAAACCTAGTGACTGGCAGCCGTTTCTGTCCAGTCGGCATTAAAGCCCCGATATCACGGGGATGGCCTTTTAAATAATGTGGGGGGCATAAAAAACAGAATGTGGGGACCTTAAATAATTAACAGAGGGGACCTAATGTAACCTCCATGTTAATTATTAAAAAAACCAGAGTGTGGAAGATAGACAGATCTATAAGATTAGGTAGAAAGAGACTAAACAAGTTATAAGAGCTTCCAAATCGCACACAGAAGAAAAAATAGCACAGTCAGTATAAAAAGGGGACAAAACATATTTTGGATACATAAATGAGAAAAGGAAAGTAAAACAAGGATTAGTTTGATTAAAAACAAAAGAAGGAAGGTATGTAGAAGAGGATAAAGGTCTAGCTGACTGCCTGAATTAATATTTTTGTTCAGTATTTAAAGATGAAAATGAAAATGAAGGAAAGGGGCCTCAGTTAGGAAAAAGGACAAATTAGCAATTTGTTACATTTGAGTTTACAGAGGAAGACGTTCTATTTCAGGAGTAGTCCCAGAAGATTGGAAGTTACTGAATGTTGTGCCCATTCACAAGAAAGGTAGTAGGGAGGAGTCAGGCAGCTATAGGCCAGTAAGTCTTAATTCGGTAGTGGGGAAAGGAATGGAAACCATGTTAAAGGATAGGATTGTTGAACATCTAAAATCACATGGATTTCAAGATCAGAGACAAACGTGGGTTTACTTCAGGGAGATCATGTCAAACTAATCTTATTGATTTTTTTGATTGGGTAACTAAAATAATAGATCAGGGTGGTGCAGTAGACAATGTTTACCTAGATTTCAGTAAGGCTTTTGACACTGTTGCATATATAAGGCTTATCAATAAACTACAATCTTTAAGTTTGGATTCCAATATTGTTAAATGGGTATGACAGTGACTGAGTGACAGGCAACAGAGGGTTGTAGTCAATAGAGTATATTTGAAGCATGGGCTTGTCACCAGTGCGTTACCTCAAGGATCTGTACTAGGACCCATTCTCTTTAATGTTTTTATTAGTGATATTGCAGAAGGTCTTGATGGTAAGGTATGTCTTTTTGCTGATGATACTAATACAGGGAGTGCAGAATTATTAGGCAAATGAGTATTTTGACCACATCATCCTCTTTATGCATGTTGTCTTACTCCAAGCTGTATAGGCTCGAAAGCCTACTACCAATTAAGCATATTAGGTGATGTGCATCTCTGTAATGAGAAGGGGTGTGGTCTAATGACATCAACACCCTATATCAGGTGTGCATAATTATTAGGCAACTTCCTTTCCTTTGGCAAAATGGGTCAAAAGAAGGACTTGACAGGCTCAGAAAAGTCAAAAATAGTGAGATATCTTGCAGAGGGATGCAGCACTCTTAAAATTGCAAAGCTTCTGAAGCGTGATCATCGAACAATCAAGCGTTTCATTCAAAATAGTCAACAGGGTCGCAAGAAGCGTGTGGAAAAACCAAGGCGCAAAATAACTGCCCATGAACTGAGAAAAGTCAAGCGTGCAGCTGCCACGATGCCACTTGCCACCAGTTTGGCCATATTTCAGAGCTGCAACATCACTGGAGTGCCCAAAAGCACAAGGTGTGCAATACTCAGAGACATGGCCAAGGTAAGAAAGGCTGAAAGACGACCACCACTGAACAAGACACACAAGCTGAAACGTCAAGACTGTGCCAAGAAATATCTCAAGACTGATTTTTCTAGGGTTTTATGGACTGATGAAATGAGAGTGAGTCTTGATGGGCCAGATGGATGGGCCCGTGGCTGGATTGGTAAAGGGCAGAGAGCTCCAGTCCGACTCAGACGCCAGCAAGATGGAGGTGGAGTACTGGTTTGGGCTGGTATCATCAAAGATGAGCTTGTGGGGCCTTTTCGGGTTGAGGATAGAATCAAAGACTTGTTTATGCACCCTGCCTAATCTTTGGTGTAGGGCCTGAACATAGGCAGTCATACTACCATGCTGCATCTGGAGGGTTTGGGGAAAATAGAGGCCTGTCTTTGGGGCACATCCAAACAGGATCTCAAAAGGGGATAGGCCATGTCTGGAATTGGGGGTGAATCTCCTAGAAAAGAGTGCTAGGGGAAGGCATTCAGTCCGGGGCTTCCCTGTGTCTTGCATGGCTTTTGCAATCTTGTTCTTTAAGGTGCCATTTGCCATTTCTACTTTCCCACTACTCTGGGGGTGATAGGGGGTGTGGAAGGCCTGACTGATCCCTAAGGCTTTCATAATTTCTTGCATTATTTCCCCAGTGAAATGGCTACCTGTGTCACTTTCAATCACTTCAGGTACTCCATATCTACATACCAGTTCCTCCAGAAGCTTACTTGCTGTGATCTTCGTTGTGGTTTTCAACACTGGGTAGGCCTCAGGGCAACCTGAAAAGAGATCAATGCACACCAACACATATTCATACAGTCCTACCTTAGGTAGTTGAATATAGTCTATCTGCAGTCTTTGAAACGGGTAAAGTGGCCTTGGTGTGCTTACTTGGTGTTTTGACAGCCTGTCCTGGATTGTTTCTAGCACAAGTCATGCAAGCTTGGGTGTGTTTAGCTGCTACAACAGTAAATCTGGGTGCTACCCAATGGGTGTTTACTATGCTGTTCATGTGCATCTTGGATAGATGTGTAGGTCCATGGGCAATCTGGGCCATCATGGAGTACAACACTCGTGGCAAACAGTCTTTTACCTTTCCTCCACATTCTGTCATTATCCGGTTCTGCATCTTGTTTCCTCCAGAGGTCACGTTCTTCCTTTCTTGCCTGTCTTTGTAAGCTCAACAGTATATTGTAGTCAACGGCGTCATCTGTAAGAACAACTTGTAGGAAGATATTACCTGTAGAGGCAGGGTGTATTAGCCGCGAGGCAAACAAGGCATTTGCCTTGGGCGGCATTTTTCAGGGGGCGGCAAAACGCCGACCCCCAAATGCCCAGGGTAAATGCCTAGTTAGCCTCGCGGCTAACTGACATCCCGAGCGGGCGGCGCTGGCAGGCTGGCGGCTGGCGAGGGAGCACTTCCTCTGAGCTGACTGCTCAGCTCCCTCGCGCGCCGCAGAGTGAGGCTGGGAGCTGGAATATGACGTCATCTTCCGGCTCCCAGCCTCACTCTGCAGCCGGCGCGCGAGGGAGCTGAGCAGTCAGCTCATAGGAAGTGCTCCCTCGCCAGCCGCCCGCCTGACCTGCAGCCACTGGACCACCAGGGATAGAGACTAAATTTTAAAAAAAGTTAATGTTTGTGTTTGTGAGTGTGTGTTTGTGTCTGACTGTGTGTGTGTTTGTGTCTGACTGTTTGTGTCTGTGTATGTGTCTGACTATGTGTGTATGTGTTTGACTGTGTTTGTGAGTGTCTGTGTGTGTGTCTGTGTGTGTGTCTGTGTGTGTGTGTGTGTGTGTGTGTCTGACTGTGTTTGTGTCTGACTGTGTGTGTTTGTGTATGTGTCTGACTGTGTGTGTGTATGTGTCTGACTGTGTGTGTGTTTGTGTGTGTGTTTGTGTCTGACTGTGTGTGTGTCTGACCATGTGTGTTTGTGTCTGTGTTTGTGTGTGCGTGTGTCTGACTGTGTATGTGTGTGTTTGTGTCTGACTGTGTGTCTGACTGTGTGTGTGTGTGTCTGTGTGTGTTTGTGTCTGACTGTGTGTGTCTCTGACTGTGTGTGTGTTTGTGTCTGACTGTGTGTGTGTGTTTGTGTCTGACTGTGTGTGTGTATTTAGAAGGTGGGGCGGGGGGAGGGTTGGGTGGGGGTGGCGCGGGGGGAGGGGGGCGCTTGAGTTTTGTCCTGCCTAGGGCAGCACAAAACCAGGATACACCACTGTGTAGAGGGATGAACTTGAATTGCTGCTTGCTTGGCAGCTTCATCTGCTTTGTGGTTTCCTCTTGAGATTTAATCTGTGATCTTCACGTGAGCTGTCACCTTGATGATGCCTACTTGAGTGGGTAGCAGGATAGCGTTCATAAGTGCACTCACGGCTTCAGAGTTCTTGATTGGAGTTCCTGCTGAGGTGAGAAAATCACGAGCCCGCCATATAGGGCCAAAATCATGGGCTGTACCAAAAGCATAGCGAGAGTCTGTATAAATATTAGCAGTCTTACCAGAAGCCATTTTACATGCTTCAGCGAGTGCCTTCAGCTCTGCCTCCTGTGCAGAGCAGTGAGGAGCGAGTGGTTCAGCTTTTATTACCTCAGGTGCAAAGACTACAGCATATCCAGTGTGGAAATAACCTTTCTCATCAGCATATCTGGAACCATCTAAAAAAAACTCAAAATCTGCATTAGATAATGGAGAATCAATTACATGCAAAAAACCTGCTGTTTCTTGTGCCATTAGTGCTGCACAATCATGGGGTACCTGGGCATCAGCTAACTCATCTGGTGAAAGTGAATTTACAAAAAGATCAGAAGTACAAGTACCATTCCCAGTATCCCCACTCCCCTCTTTTAAATCCAGGGGAAGCAATGTAGATGGATTTAACACCACACACCTTTTAAGAGTAACATTAGGTGGCATTAGCAAGGCACACTGCATTCTGAGATGCCTTGCAGTATGTATGTGTTTTGGTTGAACTTGTGACAGTATGCTGTTGATATCATGCGGTGTGTGTGTGTGTATATGGTCACCAGATTATCTAAAACAATATCAGTGGCAGTAACAGTAGGCATTTTATGCCGCATGGGTTAATTTAAATGGTTTGTTTTCGTTGGCAAGGCACTCATACAGGGGCTGCATGTAGATTTCTGTAGAAGCCAAGGTCGGCAGTATGAATCGTAGCTGGGCTAGGCTGCGGGGGGGGGGGTGGGTGTAATAGTTTGAACTGCAGTCTGCCTCTGCCAAGAACTTCAGTAAGGAAAGAGTGTTCACAATACAAGATTCCATATTATCGCAACATAGGAGTAGGTCATCGATATACTGCAATAAAATTACGTTATTTGGCCTTTGCCACTCCTCAAGAATCTGGGCCATAGCCATGCTGTACATAGTGGGCGAGTTTTGTGCGCCCTGTGGCAATACTGTCCAATAGAGATGTCGCGAACCGTCCGTGGCCAATCTCCAGCAGACCCTCCCTACAGGAAGTAGGAGGGTCTGGGAGGGAGGGTCTGCTGGAGATTGGCCGGGACGTGTCAGCTGACCGGAGTTAGCCACGAACAGCTCGCGGCGAACCATTCGCGAGAAGTTTGCGGACGGTTCGCGACATCCCTACTGTCCAAGTGTACTGCTTGTGTTTATGTGTAAATGCAAATAAAAACTGACTGTCGGGATCCAGGGGGACACTGAAAAATGCATTTGCCAAGTCAATAACAGTAAATACCTTAGAGGAAGGTGGTATTTGTGCCAACAAGGTGTGTGGGTTGGGAACATTAGGGGCAATGAGTTCAGTTACAGCATTAATTGCCCTCAAATCATGTACCATAAGGTAGACCACAGGTTTACCTTTCTCTTGCTTTTCTTAATTGGGTACAATGGTGTGTTACAAGGGGAGATGGTCTGGACAATTACCCCTGCCTGCAGAAACTCTTGCACAGATTGGGAAATAGCATCTTCCTGTGCTGGGCTTAGGGGGTATTGTTTTTGATAGGGAGGTTTGGGACTATTCGGTCCCCAGGCAGTGTAACATTGATAATGGGTGAGGGTCCTGCAGAGTCAGGGATATTGATGATATGTAGGGACACTGGTTTGCCAATTTCCTATTGGGGGGGAGGTGGTGGTGGTGGTTAGCTGTCATGTGAGTTATCATTAGAATCCTGGGGTTTTCTATTTTTAGGAGGACACTTGCAGTTACGTTTAATGTGTCCTTTCCTGCCACAATTCCAGCAGTCTACCTGCCTTCTGTCTCCACCAGCTCTAGGGACAGTTACAGCCATTAGAGGTGTGCTCCTCTTTCTAGTATTTAGATTAGCTTCCACTCCCCTAGCCACCTTCACCAGATCACCATAGGTTAAACTTCTCCACTCAGGTCTAGCATTTTGGAGACCAGTCCTTATGGGTATGTGGATACCATCCATGAAGCAGTTAATAAGCAGTCTGGTCGAAGTGGTTACAACATCAGTGTAACCCAATGCCTCCCAAGCCATTTGTAGTCTGGTGAAGAATGCTTCTACAGATTCATCTTTCCCTTGTAGTATATCTCCTAATTTATGGGCTAGTTCCTCTGTCTTTACCTTAGCCCATTCTCTCATTGCAGTGACAGCATGTTCCAGATGCAGACTTGGTTCTAAACCATTCATCTGTTTGCATGTTGCTTTTTCTGAGGTTATCTTCATGGGCATCTGTATATTTAGCAATTATTCTAGCCCAAATGGGGCCAGCTTTTAGTGCCACAATTTGTTTTAAATCCATCCAAGTACACTGGTAAGTAGCTTGAATTGTGGATAGAGACTGGACTAGAGCTAAGGGGGCCTTTTCAACATCTGCCAGCTGCTGTATTATTGCCAGTTGTTCACTGGGTGTCCAGGGCTTATATTCTTCCCAGTATTGGATACCTGAGCTTGGCTGTCTGTGCTCATGGTATACACTCTCAACTTTGGGTATCATGGGAGTAGAAAATTGTGGAGCCTGGGGTGTCTGTGGGGGCAACTAGGGGTTCCTTTAAGTCTGGACTACCTTCCTGCTCTAATGAACCCATAGGTCTTACTGGGACACCATATGAAGTCCCACTGCGTAATATTACTGGAAAGAGAGGTTTTGATCTCCGTAAAAGGGAAATCGCCTGGCCTTTTGGGACCAAAGGAGTCCCTGCAGTATCCTGGTAAAGGGGTGGGTTTACAAGATTTTTCCCAGGATCTTGCCTACTCTGGGACCCTAGAGGTCCAAAACATTGATAATATGGTACACCTTTCCTGGTGGTTTCTCTACAACCACATTTAGTTAATTCAACAGCAGTATCATGCCATTTTTGTGCGACTTCTACTAAGTCATTATCTTCTAACCATCCTCTGTAATTTGCCATAAATTCACTCCATATATGTGGGTCTAGAGTGCCTTCTGAGGGCATGCTAGCTTTCTTAAGTAACCTCTTAACATTCTTAATTGCTCCTTGTCCTTTGTGATGCTTGACAATAGTCAAAGCCGTAAATCCCCCTTGGGTACTTTCAGAGCTACCCATCTTAAAACTTGTAAGGGTTAATTACTTCCTTACACAAGACAAACTGTACAAAAACAGTGTATTTACACTTAGGACCCGCTGCAGTGGAATTTTCAGTTTTGTCTTCTAAACACAGATCAGGAGATCTGCCCTTGGAGGATTCTAACTCAAATTATAAAACAAATGACAAGGCAAACAATAAAAATAACTTACAACCCACAGTTATATTCCACTATCTCAAGATTCCTTTCACAAGACATAACACAACCTCCACCTGAATATAACCATAATACCACAGAAAACAAGTTCTTTAGATCAGACGTTTTTAAGTCGTTCTTTACCCAGACAGACTAGTAGGATGTGGATCTGAGAGCGAAATTGATAAAGGTAGAAAAAAAGTTTTTCTTACCTTCCTGTACAGCTGATTTCACTGTCAGAGGGACGTCCACCTGTACGCTAGTGTCCGAGTCTCTCGACCGTCAGATCCGTCACGGCACCAAATTGTTGTGGATCAGAAATGTTGATCTTTGTTATATTCAGAGTAAGCCCAAATTGTTGTTACAAGTGCACTTGGAGAAGCGAGAATTAGACACCAGACACCTGTCGGTATTCAAAATAAGCCTCTGACGTTTTATTCATCAGCTGGGTTTTATACATTAAAAAGTAAGTGCTTATGTGCAAATACTCTTGGAACAGTAATAGGAAGGGAGTGCAGATAAGACATAGGGATGAGCGTCATGTACACATAACAAATAAGTTTCAAGAGAGAACAAAATGATTAGAGCAGAGACATCTTAGGTGGGTGCTCTCTGCTCCCGGAACTTAGACATATATGGTCTTAAGTGTTGTTTAAGCATCAAGCATTTCCTGAGTCCAAGTTAGGCAATTTTAATATAGGATATCATTATATGACACCTATAAGCTTGAGCCTTGTAATCAAGATAAATTCTATCACACAAGCAACCAGACCGGATGATGTGAGACGCAATGCGTTAAGTCATCACGCATCACATGAAAGTGGTGGAGCATGTACAATGGCAGAAAAACACAGGAAAGGTGTCTTTCTGTCATTCTGCCAAACCTGTTCTGTGGATGAGGGCAGGGCTGGAGTAAGAGCTCATTGGGTCTGGTGCTGACAATTATGATGGGCCTAATTACAGAATCTTATCAAAAGAGAGAGCATTAAAACAGTCATGTACGGGGGGTGCAAAGAGCATATACAATACTTCACTGTATACTTACTGTAATGAGTGGAACACCTCCTGATCTTCAATACACAGAGCCACATAAAGCTGGTTCTGACTTCAATGGCAGGTGAATAATAAGCTTATTCCAGCTCTCTCAAACAGGATAACTCCTTTTTGGTCCTTCAATAATTTTCAGGATATCCAATGTGTTAAAAATATATAAAATTTACTGGATACAAAATAACATACAAATAAAAATACATTTTAAAATACTACATAGTGAAAAAGTCCACAGCACTAACGTGTTAATAAAGTCATATTTCTAATACAACAATAATATAATAAAATAATACATTAATACATATTTTATCAAATTTGATATATTCAATTACAAAAGAGACATTTACCCAAAAATTATTCCAAACTATACAATGTTTAACAGACATCTATAATATGAGGAGGAGGATCTTCTGAAAGTGGTGGTATAATAATTTCTGGGTAAATGTCTCTTTTGTAATTGAATATATCAAATTTGATAATATATGTATTAATGTATTTTATTATATTATTGTTGTATTAGAAATATGACTTTATAAAAATGTTTTTCCCACTTTAAATATGGCGGTAGTAATAGTGCTACTAGTGTTCAGGGAAGACTGAGAACCTAGAAGTGATATCAGTATTTGTAAATCAGCTGATCAAGAAGTCAGAGAAACCTGGAAGTGACATTAACATATACAACGTCAGTTGTTGCTTGTTCTGTGGTGTGAAGCGCCAATCCACCAATTTTTCCTGTTGTGTTTGTACATTAAAACAGTCATACCTCCCAAGCGTCATGTATCTGGTGGAGGTGGTGCTGAAGGTAAACTCACAGGATATAACTATCAGAAATCACATACCCAATGCTAATCTCTTGCTTTCATCTTTCAAGTAAATCCATACCCCCTTACAGCAGTGTCTGGTGAAGCAGAATGTCGGTGGGCGGGGTAAAAGGATGGGCCTCTGACTTGAGTCACGTAACAAGAACCGCCCAAAGGGGCGAACATGGCCAAAAAGCCAAAAAGGGGGTGTGTCTGCACAGATAATTAGAACGTCAGCCTGGCTTGAATGTATGTCAAGGCTGGCCAACAATGGGCATACTATGCAGAATGCATAGTCAATATAATGTAAAAAAAAAAAGAAATAGGGAAAAATTCCTTATTTACAAAGAATACCACAACTCCAAAAAGGGTTAAACAAAACAAAAAATTGCTTACTTAACTTGATCCCATTTGCTTGTCAAACTTGTTTCCTGCAACACCTGCCTCGGTGCTGGACTGGTCTCAAACATAGAAAATATTCCATACACTCCAGTCCACAGTTTTGCTTCCCTACATTCCTCCTAAGTTTCTATACTTAAGTATCAATGGGCCTATTCCATTGGCATGGGCCTGGAGCTGCAGCTCCATTAGCCCCTATGTTAATTTGGCCCTGAATGACGGGAGGTGCTGCTTATTGTGGTCTGTTTCTTATGTACATATATTGGTGAGTGCACTTATTTTGTTTAATTACATGCATTGAGAAATGGGATAACCAGAAATGTCTGTATTGTCCTTCAATAAATCCTCTAACACTGGTTATGCACATTTTTTTTTCTCTATTTTGTATTTGCTTATTGAAGTTGTAATAGTGCCTTGAGTGCTATCCGCCCTGTACGACCCCCCAGATCCCAATATTAAACTAATTAGAAGGCTTGGAAATGTGGCAATGTTCTGTGCATTGGATTGGCCTGTCATTCTGGAGGAATGCCTCCTGGATGGCAAACCTGAGGAGGAGGTCGCGGCAGCACCATGGGAGACTTTGCACTGGAGAAAATTATTTCTTTTTTATTAACAGTTGAGGGGGAACCTAATTTTAAATCATGACAGGAGGCTTCATATTTGCTTAAGTCTCTCTTTACTAGAGCTCCACAGCAGCACGTTAACAGAGAGAAAAACACCAAAGACAAAAACATGAGACATCTATAAAAGGCTCCTCCTAACCAACCATTTCCTCTTTCTTTGCTGCTCCGCAGACAGTACAGGTCAGAGTACCACTACCTCCTGGTTTTTCCTGGGTGGCTGTGAGTTTATTATATATACAGGCATATTTTATTCCCTCATTCTCCTGATTTGTGTTTGAATTATTACTTTCCTTTCCTTCTTGTTCTTACTTTGGCTATTTTTTCTTTCCGGTTTTATGCTCTATGCTTTTCTGTTTTTTTTCGTGTGCCTGTTTGCTTTACGGTCGCCGAAAAGCGGTCTTCCGACCGCCTCCCGTGCCGACCGTCGGGACCGCGGAATAAGACGTCGGCGGTCCCTCATGCGCCGTGTACTGATTCCCGCCCGCCGGCTTCGTCCGCCAGGCGGGAATCCTCTACCTGCTTCCCTGTCCCTCCCACGTCTCGCTCGCATTCTACCATACTCGGGCGGCATGGGGAGGGTACAGGGAGCCTCACTGTTGCCGCGTGATGCGGCATCCATGCGCCCTCTCCCACGTGGCCGGGTCCGGGGGTGCACGGCTTGCTGATGTGCCTGCCGCATGTACGCCCTTCATTTAAGGGCGCAGGACTTTTTTGTTTTTGTACGTGCCAATATGATTCTGAATACACTTCTGTGACACATTGCTGCCACCTTGTATGTTTTGAGATTTACACTTTTGTTTTTTATGTGCCAATATGAATCAGGATGCTTTTCTGTGACGAATTACTGCCACCTTGTATGATTTGAGATTTACACTTTTGTTTTTCCAGGTGCAGGTTTTTTCCCCTGTCTCGCAATGCATATTGGCCTATAACACTGCCGACTGCAGTACTCTCGGTGCATGGATTCTGTGCCCTTGCGTCTTACACTATGCATGCTGCCTGGGCTTATTTAGGTTTGGTTAATGCATTACATCCGCATATTTCCTGCATGGGACCCTTCTTGGTGACACTATCCCTCACTGTTCTGGGCCTGTCCTGAGGACCCTGGTACATCTTTAATCTGCACGCCTCCGTGTCAAGATATGCCTGCCTGTCACCTCTAAGGATTTACGTTTTGCCTCCATATATCGCTGGGCCGGTGCTACCCATGCCCAGATGCTGGCCAGCTGTGTCTGTGCCCTTATGATTGGCCGGCTTTGTCTGTTCCCCTTGATTGGCCAGCTTTGTCTGTGCCCCATGATCTGGCCTGCATTGTCTGTGCCATTTTACGCATGCTACTGGCCTGGCGGCTCCACGCCTGGACCCCTGATTGTTGAGCCTGCAACTATAGGGGTGCGGCCCCTACTGCCTGCTAGTGATACCTGTTCTCTATCTCCTTAGGTATCACGCACCATCATCTCGGATATTATGGAGGCCTCTGCAGAGGAGCAGAATTTGCAGGCATTGATTAATGCGGCGGGGTCCGCCTCTGTGGAGACAGCCCTGGCTAGGGCCCTCCCTCAATCACAACCGGACAGAGGGCGAGTGGAACCCCCCGCTTGGCAGACGACTCGGCTGAGTCAAACTCTCATGGGAGAGAGCAGGCAAGTGCGCAAATGCGCTATTGGAAAGGCGAAGACCCTGAACCACGCTCCCGGTAGGGCAAGGCTCTGGCGAAGAGACCTGGTTCGAGGTTATCAACCTCGCCGACTTCGCGCCGCCGTCTATCAGGCGCAGGGGAGGAGGCCTCCTTGCCCCCCCCCCCACCATGGCCGTACTGGATGAGTGGCGGGCAGACCATTCCCCTTCAGTGGCACAAGATGTCTGGGACGAGGACCGTAGTGTTGGCCCGGGTTGGCGCTAGGAGGATGAAGACACGCCAGGAACAGAGGCCCCCACGGTGGTGCCGCGAGACAACACCTTTCTAGATACTACAGGTGAACCTCTGTCTGACCCTCGCTCTACCTGGCACCCCAGGTCCTCATAATGGTCGCGGCCCGACCACTTAGCACAATTCGTGCGCTACTGGGTCTGTGGACCCCTGGAAAGGGAGGCCCGCAAGAAACTTCGGGCGGAATGCCCCTGGCCGTCCTGCCGGGCAAGGGGGCGGGGGACCCGGATTTTGACCGCCTGGTGGCCTCGTACTTGAATCGTACGGGTCGGGACCCCACGAAAGGGGTCGAGCGTCGCCTCCGCTCGGCGCTAGATAAACAGCTGGATAGGCTGGGCCCCCCTTTGTGCAGGATGTTGGCCCTGACGGACGTGGCCTACACGGATGGTACGAGCCTGGACCTGGCCGTCATGCGGGATTGGGCGCTATGCCCCATTTGCCTTCTAGGCAATGCTAATGTGGTTCTGCACCGAACGCAGGTAAGCGGCTCTGTTCCGTATGGACAACAAGCTATCGGAGCTAGGGTCCAAAGAATTGGGCCCCCTGGCAATACGACCTACTGTTCAGGGAACGCATTAATTTATTTGCTTCCCTGAATAAAGCACAGCCCTCTATAAAGATGGTGTTTCGCTCACTGTTATCCCGGCTGGTCTTCGGACCCCCACAGATCCCGTGGCCCATCCTTTTTTCCACCATACCGGCCCAGACCTCCCTTAACTCGAAGGGCGGGTAGAGGGCGAGCGAGATTTCCTACAGGTGTGTACAACTCCTGCCACTTTTCAACTCCCCTCTATTGCATACAGGCAGATTGTTTCACTGCAGAGACAGGTGGCAGGAAGTGTCTTCAAATGCATGGGTCCATCAGACGGTACGGGGTTATGTCGTGGACTTGCATTTCCCACCGACGCAGGTTGGACCTCCAAGTGTCTCCTTCATCGCGAGAGTTCAACGTTCCTTGATAGATTCGGAGGTTCGGACTCTGCTCGCCATTGGCGCTATCCAGCGAGCCCCGGATTTGGGGGGCTTCCTCAGCTCGATTTTCTAGTGAAGATGAAGTCGGGGGAGTTCCGCCCGGTGATCAATTTTTTGGGAATTGAACACCTTCATTGTCTGCAACCACTTCAAGTTGGAAGGCATTCATCTCCTTCGGGACCTTCCCCGGCCGGGAGACTTGTTCATGTGACTGGACCTGAAGGATGCTTACCTCTCCGTCCTGGTGGACAAGAGCGGTCACGTGTTGCTTCGCTTCACCTGGAATGGCGTCCCTCGCCAATTCGCATACCTCTCGTTCGGCCTCAGCTCGACCCCTTGGTGCTTCACCAAGCTGCTGACGCCTGTGGTCGCCCGATTCTGGTCAGAGGGCGTCAGTTTCCTGTTATTTCTGGATGATTTGCTGGTCCTCTGCAATGATCCCTCCAGGCTCAGATATCAAACGCGTTCGGCGATCTCCTTATTGGAGCTCCTGCGATTCGTAGGTAATCTGAAAAAATCAGTTTTGGAACCTTCCCAGTCGGTGGAGTTCTTGGGTGTCGTGGTCAATACGACGGAATGCATTCTCCGTCTGCCTTTTGCACTGATGGCAACCGCCCAGGAGGTGATGAGAAGGATATTACGGAAAGTCCGGATTCCCCTTCAAATGTTTGCTTGCGTGGTGGGCCTCCTCTCAGCCTCGATACAGGCAATATACCCAGGACCATGCAACGGCTGAAGGCCCCTGTTCTACACAAGTGACCTTCTTCAGACCTGATGATTCCTCTGTTCCCGGACGTGAAGGCCGGACTGCGCTGGTGGCTTCTGCGCATGGCCGCACGGAACGGCAAGGCAATATTTGGACCAAACCCGGATTTCGGGCTGGAATCGACTGCAAGCCTTGGGGTTGGGGTGCCACGTGCGCGACCGGGTCCACGGGAGGCCTGTGGTCGTACAAGGAATCGAAGTTCCACATCAATTGCCTGGATTGATTGCGGGTTCGTTAACTGTTCGGAGCCTGGCAAGTCACCTGTCGGACTGCTGCGTCCTCCTTCGGAGGGACTAGGTCTCAGTGGTGCAATATAACGACCGCTTGGGGGGGCGCTCGGTCTCGCACACTGGAGGTGACGAAGGGGATTTCCAACTTCTGCTTCCATGCAACATCGCCTTACAGACAGAATATCTGCCGTGGGAGTCAAACCTGACTGCAGATTGGTTCTCCAGACATTGGAAGGATGCCCGCGACTGGGAACTCTTTCGACCCTTCTTCCTCGTACTCGAGCGTCGCAAGGGTTCGTTCACGGTGGGTCTATTCGCCTCCGGGACAACCATCAGATTCGGACGTGCTTTAGTTGGCTCCCGGACCCAGCGTGCGTGGTGGTGGTCACGTTTCGACAGATATGTTTTTTTTCTCAGGAAGCATAGGTGTTTCCTTTCGTTCGCCTCAATCCCCCGGGTATTACTTCAAGTTAGAGGTCGACGTGTGTTGTTGACTCCTCTATGGCGGGATCAGTCTGGTTCACGGGGCTTCTGGATCTTTCCTGTCGGGATCCTCTTCTCTTACCGTCCTCTCGAATACTCCTCTTGGACTCTTTCGGGAGTGCCTGGTATGTCGAGGCGTCATCGCTATCGGCCAGGGACCTTCTCTGGGATTCCTGGGCTCCCGGGACGAGGAGATGTTATCTCTCAGCATGGATTTCATGGTGTCGTTGGTGCTTGGGACAGGATACCGAGCCCTTTGCTGGCCCGTGACCAACTTGCTGAGTGTCTTGTCCCTCCTCGATGATTTGGGACGGTTGTGCCGTCTGGTTATTTTGACTAGACAACTATTTAGGCGGTGCGTGTTCCGTTTTGGAGGGTTTTTTTCCCATCGGTCAGGACCCGCTGGTCTGCAGATTTTTACGTGGGATGAGGCTGGCACGTCCTCCGGCACCTAAATACTCTTCTCTCTGGGAGGTAAGTATGGTTTTAGCGTTTTCTTTGGGATTTGGCCGGTGTTCCTTGACTTTTCCCTTCGCCAGCTTTCTGCTGTGTTTGCCCTCTTGTTGTGTCTGGTTTCGTTCAGATGTGTTTCTGATGTCCGGCCCTTCGCCCCTGTCCCGACTCGATGGTTTTTGACACTGGCGGGGGTGAATGCGACCTTTGGAGTGCATTCGGTTAGCGGCGCTGCTGCTTCTGAGTTTCCTTGGTGGGCGTTTCTCTTCGGGACGTTTTGTATGTGGCGGTCCGGTCCCGTGAAGAGTTTTTGCGCCAGTTTTACTTTAGACCGTCGGACAATGTTTCTTTGGTTTTGCTGTCGGAGCGTTAAAACAGCAAATATGAAGCCTCCTGTCATGATATAAAATTGTAGATTATACTAGCTTTAGTGTAACTATAATCTTAATTTTATTAATGACAGGAGGCGAATATTTCCCACCCGTTTTTTTTTCTTCCCCTCCCTTTGTTTAGATTGATTGTTGGTTGATTTCTATGGGTTGTTGAGTCGCCTGGGCTAGATATGGTAGTCTAGGGTGCTGTCTGGGGAAGTTAGGGGAGGTGTCTGTTATATTGGTATTGTCAGTAATTATATACTGGGGTTTTGTTTTTGTACTATCAGTACTGTACCGTGGGATTTATGTTTTCTCAGTACATTTCATTCACTAATCAGTGTTTTCGACTCTGTTTATCTCGTTTCAGTGTAATGGTTCGACTACATTTCATAGAATCCACGGTTTCGCTGGATGAAGCGCAAGATAACATCTGTTATTCGAAGTCCTTTTACAAATGGCATTCATTGTTGTGTTATGTTTCTTCCTTTTATTAGTTTATTGCATTTTGTGTACCTTATGTCTTGTCGCAGCGTGAAAGAGGAAATGGTTGGTTAGGAGGAGCCTTTTATAGATGACTTATGTTTTTGTCTTTGGTGTTTTTCTCTCTATGTTAATGTGCTGCTGTGGAGTAATAGTAAAGAGAGACTTAAGCAAATATTCGCCTCCTGTCATTAATAAAATTAAGATTATAGTTACACTAAAGCTAGTATAATCTACAATTGACAAGGAGCAACAGGGTTGTTGTGTTAGGAATACAAATATGTATATGAATGCTACAGTGTTCCTTTAAGTCCCTCATTTATGGTGTTGAAATATGTTAGAATTTTCATCTCAAATGTTTTATTTTTGTGAGAGTCTTTAAAATTCCCTATTAGTACTAAGTTTCAGATGGAGTAATCAATCAATTTGTAACAGGTGCCTCATTCAATGGCTCATTCAAGAGCCTTTTCTAACCTTGACCTGCAGAGAGTCAGCATTTCCCAATGAAGAGGTTTAATCTCATAAGAGCAGGCATTAGGTTGCTAGAGTAGGACCTGCCAAGAATGGGGTACATTGATGTTGTGGCAAGCTTAGGCAATGTATAATCAAATACTGTAACTAAACCCCCGTTATTTTTTGCATAGGTGAGGTGTTTTTAAATAAAACTATTACATTCTGAGAGACTTGAGGTTGCTGTATAGTGAATTGGTGAGTGCGCTGGATCTTGTGTGTTATATGTATTGGCCCCAGCAGCACCCTATAGTGGGTGCATAATTAGGCGAGTGCAACCTCTTGCTTTCGTAATCAGTTAGTGTGAAATTGTGTCCAACAAGGTTACAGTCATGGGCTTCTGTAGAGCGTGGCAAGAGGGGGCACTTGACCCCCCCCCTGGATTTTTCAACATGCCCCCTCCCAACAGAAGGATGGAGGGGCTGGAGGGAGGTGCAGGGGGCTGCATTAAGTTTGCCACGGGACCGGACGGAGCGCTGTGAGGCTCCCTTACAAATCCCCAGAAATTTGGTGTCTCTATGCTCTGTCTCTGCATTCAGACCCTGCCTCCCATATTCAAGCTCCACCCCTCACAAGCCCCGCCCACACACTCACGCTGTTGATCTTGCCAGAAAGAAGAGGATAGAACATGTAGATTTCGCCTCCCAGTTTCCCACAGCCTTCTGTAGGCTACAGCCTATGACAGTGATTGATTGTGTGTACCTGTTAGTGAGTGAGCTTGTGTGTGTGTGCCTGATAGTGAGTGAGCTTGTGTGTGTGTGTGTCTGATAGTGTGTGTGTGTGTGTGTGTGTGTGTGTGTAAAACGGCACACCGGGCATAAAAGGGGTTAAACGCCATTTAAAGGATATTCCCCTTCCAGATATACAGGCAGCTACTGTAGACACCAATCCACCGAACTGGAGAAGCATACGAATGCTGTAAACAGCTGAATAGGAAAAAACATACGAAAGTTTACACTCCTAGCAGTCGAACTGGAACAGCATACAATAAATCCCCTGCCAAGAAGAGACAAGGCTCTGTGTTGAGGGTCAAAACAGGAACAGACAGAGCTGTGGGTTTATTGTTCTTATATACACATTAGTACCACCCACAGGGTTTTGTAAAACAACCAATAAACACGTACAATACACTAAGACACTCCCACACAAAATCCTCCCCTCTGCCTGTGATACAATTACCTTACACAATGGGTTAATGTAATTATCACAGGCAGAGAAATACAGTTTTTCTACATTATTCATAACTTTAAAAGTATGCATCACATTCACATAAAACTTACATTTTGCATTACAGAATCAGCATACTCCAAATACATACGTCAAAATCATCCAAATTGGTCCAGTGGTTCAAAAGATAGACCGAAGTTCTTTGTGACCAAATGAAGCATGGCTTTTCTACCCAAAACCAGTTCCACAGAGTCTTCTATCCTGGAGATAATTGGGAAGTAATCCAATTATCTCCAAGGACAGAGGCAAAACTCCATTGAACACATGGTAGCAAAAGACAATAAAATACATAAAAATATATAACTGTGCAGCTATTGCACAAAACAGGTACATTCAACATATCCCCAGATAGCTTAGATCTGAGCGTACATTATTACTGAATGGCGCTCAGATCACATACATACAGTTCAACTTACATGGAGCCAAAGTCTTTCACATAGTCTTTCGTTATACGAATGGGCTCCTTGGCATAGCTATCTGGGGTATAACTGTTCAAATAGGGCAAGTACTGACTGACGCGGCTTTCGTGTCTTTACAGGGGAAAATCAAGCGTTTCAACATGGGGCCATAGTCTAAAGGCAGCAGACGGGCAACCAGGCTCCTCCAATGCACAGTGGAGAGATTGGTCTCGTCACAGTGTGTGTGCCTGATAGTGATTGAGCTTCTGTGTGTGCATGTCTGAAGTAAGCATGTGTGTGTCAGTGAGCTTGGCTGTAGTGAACATATGGGTGTGTGTGCGTTTGTAGTGAGCATGTATGTGTCAGCGAACCTGTCTGTATTGAGCACGTGTGTGTCAGTGAGCTTATGTGTAAGTGAGCTTGTCTGTAGTGAGTGTGTCAGTGAGCTTGTGTGTGTCAGGTAGCTTTTCTGTAGTTAGTATTTGTGTGTGTCCGTGTGCTTGCCTGTAGGGAGCATGTGTATGTCCGTGTGCTTGCCTGTAGGGAGCATGTGTGTGTCAGTGAGCTTTTCCATTGTGAGTTTGTGTGTATGTCAGTGAGTTTGTCTGTAATGAGCATGTGTGTCAGTGAGCTTTTCTACAGTGACCATGTGTGTCAGTGAGCGTGTCTGTAGTGAGCATGTGTGTCAGTAAGCTTGTCTGTAGGGAGCATGTGTGTGTTAATGAGCTTGTCTGTAGTGTGCATGTGTGTCAATTAGCTTGTGTGTGTCAGTGAGCTTGTCTGTAGTGATCTCGTGTGTGTGTGTGTCAGTGAGTTTGTCTGTAACAAGAATGTCGGTCAGTGAGCTTTTCTGGCATGAGCGTGTGTGTGTGTCAGCTAGCTTTTCTGTAGTGAGCATGTGTATTTGTGTCAGTGAGTTTGTGTGTGTCAGTGAGTTTATCTGTAGTGAGCATGTGTGTCAGCGAGCTTTTCTGTAGTGAGTGTGTGTGTATGTCAGTGAGTTTGTAGTGACCATGTGTGTGTCCGTGAGCTTTTCTGTAGTGAGCATGTGTGTGACAGTAAACCTGTCTGTAGTGAGCATGTGTGTCATTGAGCTTGTCTGTAGGGAGCGTGTGTGTGTGTGTGATAGTAAGCTTGTCTGTAGTAAGTTTGTGTTTGTATACCAATGAGTTTGTCTGTAGTAACCTTGTGTGAGTGTCAGAGTTTGTACTAAGTTTGTGTGTGTACTATTAAACTTGTCTGTGTGTGTAATTTTTTTACACTGACAGAACCAATATTTTGAATTGGAATAAGAAACATACCAATAATATAAATATATATATATATATATTAGCACTCTCAGGACTATAGATAAAAATAAAACTTAACTTTTACTGAGCTAAATGCAAAAATCGATGTTTCAGTCTGTTAACTACAGACTTTCATCAATACTGATGAAAGTCTGTAGTTAACAGACTGAAACGTCGATTTTTGCATTTAGCTCATTAAAAGTTACGTTTTATCTATAGTCCTGAGAGTGCTCTCTTATTTTTCTTTCTGTATTTTGCTGGACAAGCACCGGGCATTGGAATTTTTTGTATTTGATGGAGTGCAGGATCATATATATATATATATATATATATATATATATATATATATATATATATATATATATATATATATATATATATATATATATATATATATATAATTATTGTATACATGGGTCTCTGTAGTGAGCATGGGTGTGTCAGTGAGCTGGTCTGTAGTGAGCATGGGTGTGTCAGTGAGTTTGTCTGTAGTGAGCATGGGTGTCAGTGAGCTTTTCTGCAGTAAGTGTGTCAGGGATCGTGTCTGTAATACTTACAGACAGTAAGCTTGTCTGTAGTAAGTTTGTGTTTGTATACCAATAAGTTTATGTAGTAACTTTGTGTGAGTGTCAGAGTTTGTACTAAGTTTGTGTGTGTGTCAGTGAGATATTCTGTCAGTGAGCTTATTTGTGTGTATTAGTGAGCTTGTGTTTTTATGTCAATTAATTTGTGTATCAATGAGATTGTCTGTCTGCTTGTGTGCTTGTCAGTGAGATTGTCTGTGTCTGCATGTGAGTATTTTTACACTGACAGAACCAACATTTTGAATTAGAAAAAGAAACATACCAATAATATATATATTATTATTGTGTACATACATACACACACACACACACGGCGCTATATAAATAATAACATAATAATACATACACACATTAATATATCATTAATTCATTAACAGATATCTCACTATTGCTTTCTCCCTTTCTCACTCTCTCTATCTAACTATATATCTGTTCCTTTATACCATTTCTCAGTATGTTTTCTTGTATCACTGTTGTAGATAACATCTTCCCTCTAGAAATCTCTTACCTTGTTTAAGGTGACTGCCCTACTGACTGTGTGCTGATCTACTCTAGATGTATCCCACTGAGTGAGCTCAGGGCTGCTATATTTCACCGTGCAATTATCCAATTAAAATGGGAACACAGATGCAAGCTGAGCGGCTGTATGGACATAATGTTCCCAGATGCTAGCTTTTCCTATAGTTCACCTGAGTGACATGCTGAGCAGTTAAAAAAAGTCTGGCTTTTGACATTAGAAGAGTTTAAAAATATACATGACAATGTACTTCCACTATTTATTAATAACTTATTAAATACATTGCTAGATGACAACTGCATTAAGCAAACTAGTCACAACCACTGCACACCTAGCTAAAAAATACAGAAAAAGAGCAGATAAAATGTAGATTCAGAAGTTTAGTTTTCAAATGCTCATATGTCAATTCCTCTTGCTCTCTTCCTGTGCCCAACATGCAGAGAAATTAAAAAAGAAGCAAAAAATAAAATAAAATATGATATATAAATACAGAGTTTCTGGAGGCAGAAATAGGCTAATGGTTCCATTAAAAACAGATAATTATTTACATATCTCTTTAAATGTCTGGACGTGCAGCATCAATGGATTAATAGATTGCAACATTTATTATTAGTATTATTATAAAGTGCATAAACAATTTTTAGCAAAATGTGGATTTTATGTGATTTGTGTGAAATCCTATGATATATGAAATGTGTATTT